ATATACTATATATATATACTATATATATATACTATATATATATACTATATATATATACTATATATATATACTATATATATATACTATATATATATATATACTATATATATATACTATATATATACTATATATATACTATATATATATATATATATTCATTGACGGTTATTGGCATAAAGCCCAAGTACGCGCAAAACAACCTTTTCGTCAAATTCGCTGATAATGGTGAGTGCTCAGGTAAGAACAGTATCGGATTCTGCATTCTAAAATGACATTAAATCTAGTTAAAAATATTATTGCCCAGCAAATAATTCGTAAGAGGCATATTCAAAAAACATTTTGTATATAAAAAAATATTTATCAAGTGACGTTTCGTCACATTACAAGCGACATCGTCAGACTAAATACAGTTAAGCAAGCTATTCCATCTATTTTATAACAAATTTTGAAAAATATACCATGATATAAGATTACAAACAGGTAAAAAGTTAAAATTAGAAAGATACAATGTTCATGGTATACTGGCATGTATACAAGATACTCAGATTAGCGAAAGAAAGAAAAAAAAAATTCAAAAAGTAGTAACTAAATAATCTTCAAAAATAATAATATTCAAAAAGTTACTACTTCAAAATGGTTACCCGAAATTTTCCATGGATAGATGCATCAAAACGTTTTAGATAAAATTATTTCTCCACCTCCTAAAGTTCATTTGAACGCCTACGGTTTGAAAATTACTTATTCCGATTGTTGTAACGCTGTAACGCATTGTATTTGGGCAAAACATGCCGACATTTACACACACGAATCTCTGAGCAATGCGGAATTTCGGCTTTGACTGGCAATCCTCTTTCGTGTGTTTCAAAATCAAGTATTTCAGATCATTCTAGAGAAGCCGGTCATCCAAAGATTTTAAAATTGTTACTTCAGCTAATTCTAACCATGATATTCTTATTAAAGAAAATTTACTTATTGCTCAAAATAAACCTTGGCATAATAAATATTTTTTCATGCATATACCAAATGTTTTTTAAATATGCCTCTTATTTTTGAATATACGAATTATTTGCTGGGCAATAATATTTTTAACTAGGATTCGTTTTCCGCCTGGTGTTTCCATAGCTGACATTAAATCTATCTGAAACGTGGGAAATGATTATGCACAGGCAGTCGACGAAACCCTTATACCGTGGAACCGATTGAAGGTCTAGCGCGAGTATTGATTTGTGACCATTTGTTATAATTCAAATGTTTGTGAAAATACGTAGAACGCTAATAGATAGTTTGATACATTTATTTTACTTCACAATTGTAGAGTCGTCATATAATATCTAGTAGATGAGCACGATTACGATTACTCGTTGTATCGCTTTTTAGTAGTAGCCGTTATTTTATACGCGAGTTAGTAGAGGCGAGGCGGAAAAGCAATTAAGATTAGTGTCAAGATAATTAAGGCGCGTTAATACAATGCTCGATAATTACCGCCCAATTTCTATTTTACCAACAATCAGCAAACTATTCGAGAAAATCCTTTATAGGCAGATATTCACCTATTTAAATACCAATAATATCATTTCGAAATATCAGTTTGGATTTAGACCAAATCATTCTACTGCCGATGCATTGCTACATAGCACGAACGAATGGCATACAAATTTGGATCGTGGCATGTTCAACATTGCTGTCTTTCTTGATCTAAAAAAAGCCTTTGACACAATAAATCATAAGATCTTAACGTCAAAGCTAGGTTTTTATGGGTTTGAGTCCTCCGCACTTAATTTTATTAGTTCATATTTAGGAAATCGATCACAATTGTGCCACGCGAATGGGCATTTATCTAATTCTCGCAATATTAATTACGGAGTCCCCAAGGATCTATTTTAGCTCCTTTGCTTTTCCTAGTTTATATAAACGATTTACCAAATTGTGTTCATATGTCTAGTGTTAGAATGTTCGCAGACGATACTACTCTAACTGCATGTGGCAAATCATTATTGGAAATTGAATCGAAAATAAATAGTGATTTGGCAAATGTTAACGCGTGGCTCTTAGCCAACAAATTAAGTCTAAACCTTGTTAAAACTGAGTATTTATTGATTGGAAGTCGATCTAAGATCAATAATCTTACCTCTGAACCTAACATTGTGATCAATAATAGACCCATTAAACGTGTAACTGAAACGAAGTCCCTAGGTATTCTAATTGATCAATTTTTATCTTGGGATAGTCATTTAGATGAATTATGTAAAAAGGTAGCAGCTGGAATTGGGGCTATAAAACGACTAAGGCCATATTTTAACCGTCTCACTCTCCTATCCGTCTATTATGCTCTGGTTCAACCGTATTTTGACTATTGCTATCTTGTGTGGGATCCAATTGGTACCACGCTTACAAATCGATTACAAGTACTCCAAAATAGGGCAGCAAGGGTCATCTTAGGATATAGAAATGAGCATGGTCAGTCTGAAGCCGCTTTGTCTGAATTGAAATTGAAAACGTTAAAAGAACGCAGATTAATCTTTAGGGGCAAGTTTATGTACAAAATTGCTCATGCGCAAGCACCACCTGTTTTAACCGATATCTTTGAAGACTCATCTGCTCCTCAACATAATTACAATTTAAGAGACCATGATTTCAAGTTTTACTTACCAAAACCAAAAACAGAATACTTGAAAAATAGCATCCGGTATAGTGGAGCAAAACTCTGGAATAGCTTACCTTGCGAGTTAAGAAGCGCAAATTCATTAAATCTATTCAATTCGTTGATTTCTGATACTAGCCTGCAGTCTTAAATCTATTTGCTGCCGAAGGCAGCACTCCTAATCTTGCTCCAGAGTTCACTCGACCCAGTCTTTCGCGCCGATCTTGTGTCTGTCCATATTTAAGATGTCGTAATTCCGGGGGGACACCGGGGGGAGTGCGAGAAAAATATTGAATTGCGTGCACATAATTTGCAAGCTTTTTATTCTGGATCTGACTTGATGCAAAATATACGAACACTTCCCGAAGAAACCAAGTAACTATGGCTTTATTTATTTGTGTTAATAGCCATCAAGGCGATGAACTGTTTAGCGTTCGAAAATTCTAGAGGCAAGAGATGTGCTTTAACTGATTATGAGTTTATTGTTATGTGCAAGCCAGCCAAAACCATGAGTATATATAGTGTTCAGTTTGTAGATGTTTATAGTTTGAAAATAAACGCGGAATGTTGTTTAATCAGGCTTACTGTAATAAGATTCCTAGAGCAACCCAATGTGGATTGTTGTCTGCAGCACGGTCTGCACATATTGACTTTTATAATATATAAACACCAGCTAGCAATTTAATACATGTAATAGTATGTCAACTGACTGTCGGAATGCTCTACTAAAAGGGCCGTCCTTCACGACAATTCACTGTGTTTTTAATCGCCAAATTATTTGATTTTATTTCGTATGTTGTATTATGTTTACACACCTATTTCTCTCTCGCTCGCAATGTACTCTGTTGTTTTTGCTAAATGTCAATCATATAGTAATTATGTCCTTATATGGTGTTCATATCTAGTGTTTATTCATAACCTATTTATAGTCTGTTTCCAACATGATTTTTGTACAGGTATAAGACATGACTGTCTGTTTATATATATTATATATCTTTCTTTGAGGCCTCTGAGATATGTCCATTAATTGTTAGCATAATATGAACACAAAAGCAAATGCTACGATACGTTAAGACGAAGTGGAAAACTGGCTTTAGTATCTTTATAGACTTTATACAAACATTGTACAGTATTCAGTGGTAAGCAAGCCGTGGCAACTGACCATGCTATGCTAATAAACCTGCATCTATTTGAACAATGCAAATCATTAAAAACTTGCATAGCATGACCTGTTGCTATGGCCAGCTTCACCACTGACAGTATTATGATTTATATACATACAAAAGCAAGAAGTTATAAGCATTGAAGATATTCATATAAAACCGCCCATGGCCCATGCAAAGAAAGTAGAATTAGAACATTTAGCCGCCTTCGACTTTGTGCAAGGTGTTTGATATTCAAATTGCACTTTTCATACCTCCTGAACAGGAGTTTTGGGGGCTGTTTCCATGATGGAAGGCAATGATTTTGATGTATTGAAATATTAGTCACCATGTAAATGAACTTCAAATGCTGGTTAACAGAACTCAAATGTTGTAGAGAAGATCGCGTGGTTCAAGAAAGTTATTATGTTTGAACAACCTTTTGTTTATAGTTAACTATAGTCCATCCATCTATAGAAAATAATGAAGTTTTTTGCTGGCAGGGACGTCGTGAAGATATCAGCATTGGGGGGAGGGGGTCGTCATGTTTTGACCAACTTTTCCTAGAATTTTGACCAAGTTTCGACCAAAATAAGCAAGGCTTGCAATTGTTCAGTCAGCGCAAACATGACCAAAGCTTAGAAATTGTTAACATTGCGAACGATATCATAACTATGATAGTCTTTTATCTCAAACTTTGACCGAATCTTACCAACTTTGACCTTCAATTATTTTAAACAAATATTAGTTCCATTTTGACCAACTTTCACCAACATTTAGAATTATTGGGGGGGGGGATGTTACACCCTCCACACACACCCTGTAGCGACGTCCCTGTTTGCTGAATCATGCACCGTGATTTAATTCAGTATATCGAAATCATCCTGCCTCATATCTCGTCCTAGTGGGATCATATAAACAGGACCCTTATTCAGCAAATTGCTAATGCTGCCTTCATCCCTTGGGGGTGAGGCAGCATTTTCCTTGCGATAGTAACTTCTAGTATTATATCTTTATTTAACCATGATTTAACTAATTGTAAAATTTAATATGTAAGTGTATAACTATTGTATATATTTTATCATCACGCCCCTCTTGGAAATCAGCAAATGCTGAAGGGGTTATAGCGTGTTTAAATAAAGCTTTATCTACAATCTGCATAATAATATACAACTATATGCAGCTATAAAAACGAACCAGAAAGTACTTACCCTGCATCATGTGGCATGCAACACCGGCATAATTATAATCTAGTTAGCGACGTGGTTTTGTTTTCACCTTTGGACGGCTTAGTTTTATATCAACTATATAGTCATATGGTTTTTTATACTGAAATTTTTAGCTCAAATGACATAGTTTTATAAATTTAAAGGATATCTATAACTAGTTGCTGCTCACTGTACAAACTCTTTATGATCACGTTTAAGGTGGCTCCCAACAGTTTTCTAAAATTTTAGGTTCCAGGAAAGTTCAAGAGCTGTATACTGTCCATTTATGAACAAATAAAAACAGTATACAGCTATTTCAATTAAGGTTGTCCACAAGAAAAGCGGAAAAGTCGAATACGAGCGCGAAAGGCTGCTGCATGGGAATCCCTAAAGAATTAATGAATTTTCATAGCGATTCCCAGCAGCCTTTCGCGCTCGTATTCGACTTTTCCGCTTTGCTCGTGGACAACCTTAATTGAAATATCTGTATGCGTTTAGGTAAGGTTTAATTGAAAAGAAAATTGAAAAACAAATATACTTAATCAATATGACAGCCGACAAGCATAAACATTCATATTTTTCCGCTTGATAAGATATATGATAAAGGCCGATTTACACCACACAACTTTTGCCTAAAACTGTCGCATGCACCAGCTCACACGTATATTCTTAATTTTAGTTGTTTATTTTCCAATCAAGTACAGCTTATTTCGTTTTAGATATGCATTATATGTCATGAGTCGCAGTTCACATTATGTATATACACGCGTAAAAATTGAGAAAATCGACAACTTTTTTGTTCCAGATTGATATCAACAGGCGTGAACAAGGTTGTGCGGCCCACTATGAACAGTATTGTCAACATGTTGTTGCAGCATGCATTGTTCAACTGTAACAACTTGGGACAAAATGGTTGACAACTTGTTCATAGTTGGCCGCACAACATTGTTCACGCCTGTCGATATCAACTTGGAACAACCTGTGCGTTTTTAGCCGTGTATAGTTTAGGTACAGTTTGGTTTATGTATACTATATCAAGTATAGTTTGATGTTCATCCAAACTTAGTAAAATCATTACTGTGTTTATATAATTTATTACACTTAATACAGCTCAACCGTGAAATTTAGGCAATTAAACACCCAAGATACACTGAATCAATGCAGGTTCAACTTGACAAATGAGAATGGTTCCTAAATAAAACCATTTAGAATGAATGTTCTGTGGCTATAGGTATATTGGCAGGAATATGCTTGATATTACCATTGTAAATGCAATCTGTGTTTGATACTCAACGAGGATATATTTTCTCAAATTTGGACCCTTTTGCAGGGTATAAGGAGCAATTATTAGCTACTGTAATACTATCAACAGCTCACTAATTAAGGAAACAAATCTAAACACTAAGCCAGGAAGCCGATTGTTTTGTCTAGATATAAGAACCAGTTAAGAACCAACTCAACCTAATTTCTCACTAAGTACATACTGAAAAATAGTTGGGTTCTTTTATGTGGGTTTTTACTGTATTGCCGACCTGGGAAATTATTTGAATAACTAGTTTGCCAGAGCGGTTTCGTCAAGAGAGGAATTACAAAGACTGCAAATGCACTTACCACAAAATGAGATGCTACAAGCTAAGAAAAGCCATTTCAACATCTTGGAAGATGATCAACAAGACTTTTCTATATAGTCTCCGCCAAATTCCTCGTTGGACCACAAGACCAGCGTGATACTAAAAGAGGCAGGGCCGTACGCATAATATGTTGAATGAAATAAGTATACCCAAATGTGAATGCATTTCAAGGTCATATCAGTTAATTAGATGCATCCTTGTAGAGTCCAATACAGAATGATACATTCAGATTCTGCAATATAAGCTAAAATCCTTTCGATAATTACGTCATTTGGCCAGGGAGCCTCGCTCTCATGAATCGTGAGCCAATCACCTTGCGTAATTCACTAATGAGAGCGAGGCTCCAAGACCAAAAAGTATGTTTGACGTAATTATCGAAAGGGTGTATTGCTAGGGTCTCGACTGCGCATCTAATTAAAAATTACGCATTCTGAGAAATTGTAGTTAGTTCTAGATCAGTGCATGCCTGCATGGAAGCATTAAATATATGTATATTCAATTATTATTTGTATTTCATCTGTAGCCACAATAGAACTGTCATTAAATAATTTTTGTACTTGTATATTTTGTCTTCTGTCTAAAACAAAAAGGTATGTACATGTACACTTATATTTTCTCATTTAATTAAAGCGTGTCAACCGTTCCGAAACTAATTGTTTGAACATAAAGCCATAATGTTGAACAACTGAATACTTTCATTTGCATTTTCTAATTCTAGAGAGGGGGAGGGGTGCAGTTGCCCATAAACAGTGAACCAATTCAGGTTGACAAATATAGACTGGTTCCTAAAAACATTTAGAATGCATGTTCTTCTGTCACACACACAAACACACACCATAAGCGTGCATGATCAGGATTCATAATTAACAATCAAAATAATATAGAAAACAAAAACCGAAAAATGAAAACATCTTGAGAAACCCAATATATAGACCAAAATTAGGAAGCTAAATTACCATTTACTACCGGGTGTCCCAAAAAAAAGTACTCCGGTTTGATTCGTAATAACGTCTAAACAAGTAAAGCTTTTAAAGAGAAATAACTTGCATCAAATAAAGAAAAGATTAACTTAGATTTTGATATATTACAATTGTATTTCACTTAAAAATTCACGGAGATATTAATGTTTAAAATCGGAAACATATTTCTGGATGTGTCTGAAATATGCAAAAAACGGCGTATCAAATATTAATCAAGATTTGCCCGACTGAAACATGCACTATTACCAGTAAATAAATGACACTTGACAAATTGTTTATTATGAAACAAGGTATTATTATATCTACAAAATACAAGAAAGATTTATTCGTCCGAAATCCGCATGTGTTCCTAGCACGAATATATACGTTTCCTTATTTCATGAGACCACTGCATCGCGAAGGATCGTCATGGATCGTTCGTAGTTCAGAATTAGGGCATGCTGTCACAATGGAATTGTGAAGCTCTTCTAACTTCTGCAACGTTCTGAAATCTTGTTAAGAACACCCAAACTCTTTTGCCTTTTCTTAATCTTGGCAAGTTCAGAATAAACTGAGAATGAAACACAATCAAACCATACAACTCCATAAGACATAACAATTAAGCATGCAACTCCCTAGAGATTATCCAACATTTTTGGAACAAAACGTACGGTAACAAAATAGTAGCGTTGATACTGTGATGTGTATTTGCAAAAAGCAATATTATTTCCTTCATTGCAGAATGATATTCATCCTGCTCTAACCGAGAAATAATCAACTCTGTTTTGAGACCATGAAAAACATAAAAAAATTAGGCTAAGAAAAATTCTTTCATGTACCTTATAAATTTGTAAAGTTTGTAAAGACCTTTTAAATACTTGCATAATTTCGTACGTTCATATTTCAGGAAACAATGAGCTAAGACTTACATGTAAGAAGTCTAAATCTACGCCATATCCCTTACAAACCCTAACGACATTTCGCTGAAATACAAGTTAGCCTGATATGTCATGAAGCAAACAAATGCTGAAGTTAATATTTGATATGCCGATTTTCGCTAATTTTAGACACATCCCAAAATATGCTCCCGATTTTGAACATTAATACCTCCGTGAATTTTTAAGTAAAATACAACTGTAACATATCAAAATCTAAGTTAGTCCTTCCTCTATTTAATGCAAGTTATTTCTGTTTGATAGCTTTACTTGTTTAGAAGTTATTATAAATCAAACCGGAGTACTTTTTTTGGGACACCTAGTATAAAAGTTTGTATTTGCACTGATGAATATATTGATCCTGTTCCTATCTGCTGTTCCTGTTTCATAGCCTCAGGGAAGTAGAGTTCTGATGAGTCATGAGAACCCCACTCATCAACCCAGAGGGAAGGCAGGGGGTTTTGAAAGCTCCCTGTCTAGCATCCCCACTAGGCCCCATACATAGTACATGACGGATATGATGATCCTGACGCTAGGAATGTTCTCCCGGATTTTGCTCCTCACTGACATGTCCGGGATCCATTTCGATCAACTGTGAGCTTGAGTTCATTCGACTCTTTTTTACTAAAGGGAATGCTTCAGGAGGTAGTTTCCTGGCCATATCAATACATATGCCCATATACAAATAACTCAAAAGTTATCCCCATATACTAATAAAGAAGGGTCTTGCAGTCCACCACCAACCTTGAGAGGTTGATTGCCTTCTAGTATATGCAGGTTTGCTAAAGGTCGACAGTGAGATTGAAAATTATTGGAGTGTAAAAACCTTATATCATGGTCTGTGGGCAATAGAAATAATTTCTCGGGTTAGGTACAAAGCGCTTATGGCATTTGTGAATATGGTAGATCCTGTACTAAAGACTACAGCAATAAACTGCATCAACAACTGTACCAGCCATCACAGAATATTGTTGTTGCAGACAAACACACTGTCAAATCAAGAAATAGGTTGGGGTTTAGGCAGTTCATGAAAGCTAGATGACATACTATGTGGGGAATAAATCTGTGGGTTGCTGCAGACAATCCTAATGGTTATATTGCAAATATAACTTTGAAATTTATACAGGAAGAAATCCAGATATTCATCGCAACAGATTTGGGTATGACGTGGTGATCTGATATCAGTTTGGTTACAGTTTTAGGTCTTTTGTAGTACAATATAAAGGATATATTTTCACCACATAATCCAATTATGTGCTTTGGCAAACATTACTGCTTTAGCAAACATTACTGCCTTGGAAAACATTACTTTTTTATAACTACTAATTATGATGATGCCAGCCCAACAACACTTGGTCATGCTATTTGCAAATATTTTCATGTTCTAGATTGTGAAAACAATCAATTTCTAAACAAATGAGTAGTGATTATTTAAAATTTGAATAGCATGACCAAATTTTGAGGCTGGTTATGCCACTAATAACTAAAGTGAATGGTGTAATGATTATCTAAGAACATATGTAGTAATTGTAGAAATAAAGACATTTTGCTAATCATGATTTGAGTGTTCATTTGTGGGTATCACAGACTTATTTTGGTGCCACACTGTCTTTGGAGAGTAAGAAATATTGGAAATTTGTATTGATAACATGTTGCAGCAAAAAAAAAGGACCTTTGATAAAGGTATTTGTTTCATGTGAGCACAAAATGTAAATTTTACTCCACTACCTAGTTTATATAAAAATTTAATAAAAATATTTCTATTTATTCTACATGCATGAAACTTCGGGTACTTGTAGATCATAACCGTCTCTTTCAGTCATATTCATAAAATTATTTGACATATTTGAAATTTGAACCGCTAAATACATTTTATGCATAATTGCAACATTTTTTTATATCATAATTTATGCAAATTTATGCGAGTAAATCGTTAACCAAGCTCCAGATGAAATTGGTATCGTTGGAAAGCAGAAGTCCTCCTCTTTCGAACGATGCAATTTCTGTTTCCGTGCGATGTATAGTTTGAGAGATATAAGCGTTTGAAACAATGCCACTCGAAATTGCTACTTTTCGACCAGATGGGAATGAGTTAATGAAGTTAGTCAATGGAGTTTTTAAACCAGTTAAAGGAAAGGCGATGATGGTTCGTGTCCTTTCAGATATTCGTAAGGTACCATTGTTAAGCCAAGCACTTGAAAAGCATTCACCACATGACCGAAGTTTTGATCCAAACGAAGACTACACTCTCGCCTATCCTGATGGCACTGAAGTTCTCGCGTTACCTGGACAACCTGCTCAAATATTTCAGCTGGACAAGTACAAGGAAGACGTTGGTAAAAGCTTTAACCGCATAACATTGTACCTTATACAGAGAGATCTTTTGAACAATGATGGTGGAAATGAAAGTGACGACTGTGAGTTCAGCAGCGAGTCTGTTCACTCTGTTACTTCAGAGGAACCTTGTACTTCTGCGGGAAGTGCCACCAATAACACATCAAAGGTATCTGTCAATGACCCTAATTATTGAATTGTTTTAAGTATATATTGTTTTAAATACTGTAGTTGGCAATATTAAAAAATTCCACGATATTCCATTTAATATATGTACCCCCTCCTCCCCCTGCTATATAAAAGAGCCTGAAGGGATAAGATGATCTTTTGCCCTGGAATTCCTCAGTGATACGAAGGCAGGAATGTCGCTATAGGGGGGTGGGTGGACGTGGGGGGGGGGGTGTAACACCCCCCAATAGCGGTGTATTAAACACCCCCCAATAATTCAAACATTGGTCAAATTTGGTCAAAATGGAACTGATATTTGCCCAAAGTTGATCAAAATGGAACTGATATTTGCTTAATTAAAATTGAAGGTAATTTGGTGAAAGTTTTGTAAAAAAGATGGTCGAAGTTGTTAAAAGTTATGAAATGGTTCGCACTTTTAACAATTTTAAAGCTTCAGTTACGTTTGCGGTGAAAAAGTCGGAAGCATTGCTTATATTGGTCGAAAAATTTTGAATATGCTTATAATAGTCCGGAAAATTTTTCCGACTATATTAGTACGGAAAATATTTTTGACCTCCCCCCCTAGGAAAAGTTGGTCAAAACATGACGACCCCCCCCCCAATGTTGATGGCTTCGCGACGTCCCTGTATGAAGGGACCAATCATAAAGTACAGGGGGGGGGCTGGAAAAAAACAGGGTGTGGGTCATCCAATTTTGAACATCAGAAAGGGGTGGGTCATTTAAAATTTAACAACAGTTTGGGGGTGGGTCATAGTAAAATGTGCTTGATTAATATATAGGTTTCAAAAGGTATAGAGATCATTATTAAATATTATCTTTACAAAGCATGGCTGGAAAAATGTCAATGAAGAAATACAATATGTATTAAACACAAGATTCCGGATAATAAATAGTTGGATTTAATCATGGTTATTTTATCACAGACAACAAATAAAAGATATTCTTAATATTTTATAAATTATGAAGGGTTATCCACGAGTTTTTCGTCATTAAATTAGTGTGTACTACTTGTTGGCTACATCATGTATTACACAATAGAAAGAACACAAAGGAAGTGAAGAGAAAGAGAGACTTGGAGCAAGTATATTTGAAGCAAATTTTCAATGCAAGGGTTGGTCATCAATTTTTATGCAAGGGCAAAAGAGTGGGCCATCAATAATTATGCCTAACTTGTGGGATGGGTCTTCAAGAAATATGTTTTTAAAAATTTTAATTTTCCAGCCCCCTCCCTGTACTTTATGACCGTCTCTAAGGTACATTGTATTTTGATTGTATATCTTCTGGGGTGAAGTACATGCAGCCTGCTTGCAGCCCGAAATTTCGTCCTAATTGTCTGCCTTCAAATTTTAGGGGGGGGAGGGGCTACTGAGCAGGCTGTTATAAGTATGTGTAAAAACACTAAATTCTTCAGGGGTTCTGTTTTATTAGGAAGTCTTCACTACATCACAGGTGTTTGTTGTGGGTCATGTCATTCTGATCCTAGTTAATTAACCCCATAGAAGGAATTATTCAGTTTTTAATGGAAATTAGCCCAATGACAATTCATGAAGGAGCGATCCTTTAAGTCAAAATGTATGTGCTCTCCACCCAATTTGTTAAGTAGAAGAGCTTGGATTTTTAATATTATACTGTAGCATATTTCAACTAATTAATTGAAATCTCAAAGTTGAGTAATTGAATGGTAAAAAAATATTTGGTGCAGTTTTATCATGGTATTGCCATACATTTAGTATGGCTATATTTTGGTTGTACAGTACTGAACACATATTTGATCAGATTAATTGTAAATAGTGATGTTTAATCATCTATAGGATATCCTGCTTCAGTCATCATGCAATTTGAGAAATTCGGAAACATCTAATTCATAACCTGTAAGCTCACAACAGAATGGCCGTTTATCTACATGTAGCAGTGTGGTAGCCAGACATTCCACTAGCAGAAATTATGCATCAGGATCTTTTAGGTAAATTACTAATTAATATATATTTTATTTAACAACATAAGTACAGTCCTTGCATCTATAAGGATGAACGGTACTGATAAAAACATTGTCTTCTCACATGATTTAAATTGTGACAGCAAATCAGTAATATAGCTACAGTTGGTACTATATTAAGGTTATATAAAAAAATGATGCAACTAAATTGAAAATAGACGAAATTTTTAATTAATGTATTGACTTTTAGTGAGGGCCAGTTTAATATCTGCATGATGTGGTTCTGGTTTCATATGCTGATTGAAACATATGTTAAAATATAGGGTTGACATATTGAAATTCAGTCCAATTAGGTGTACATACAATGTATAATGATAATCAGATATAATGATCACAATTTCACAAATCAAATAAATAAACGTTCTGAGATTTGATTTTGCATGTTCGTATCTGATTTCTAACCCCTTTTCTTCAGTATTTAGTCCTTGCATATGTCCTTGAATTTCACTCTTCCTCACTTGTACGAACCCTGTTTAAAATCTCACAGCCACGCGTATATAGTTGCATCATTTTATAACATTCTGTTAAATTTTTAGTGCTGAGGAAAACTAAAATTAAACTGTACTCGATTGTGAAATCATCGCTCTAGTAATATTTCGTTGGTTTGCTAGTGGCCAGAAAGGTTAATGTATTACGTAGTTGCATCTTTCCGCAGAGTTTTGTCACGCAATATTGCAAATTATATTGATCAACTGATTGCTCTAGCAAATTGCAACAGACGCGAACAAATTGCAATTTTTACATACTAAAGTAACAGTATTAAACCGTCAAATGCAAAATTCAAAAATTTATAAATAAAGTCTGAATGGCTACTAGTACAAAACAGTCCAATAAAATGCTTGGCATCAACCTCTCGACGCGACCTCTCGATCGACAAATTGTCAACATGTAAAAATTGCAATTTGTTCGCGTCGGTTGAAATTTGCTAGAGCAATCTGCCGATCAACAATGGCATTGCGTGACAATATTCCAATGTTGCCGGCAACATACGGAACACCAAATTTGACGTAAAAGTATTTTTCTTTAAATTGTAGTTGTGAGGCTGACTATACATCCGCAGAAAGTACACAAGCATCTACAAGTAGTGAAGTTCTGGATGTACTGAGCACACCCAAATCTTCTAACAAAGTTGTATGCGATTTAGACGAAATTTAAGCCACGTTGCTGTTTGACGAAATAAATTCCGATAGTAGAAACTAATGGAGATGACGTTATTCATGACGACATTGAGGAGAAAATCACATTGAAGGAAATACTATCGAATCTTGCAGAAGCAACGTCCTATGATCAAATTTCAATCTTCAACTTAAGTCGAAATCATATATGGGAAGGTACCAAAAGGGCGATGAACAGAAAGTCGTTTAGTCCTGTGAATAAGTTATCAGTAAAGTTTACGGACGACATCGGTCAGTCAGAAGGAGCTGTGGACATGGGAGGTCCAGGGAGGGAATTCTTTACCCTTATCACAGAATGGCTGGTTAATTCGCGACTTTTCTTCGGTGGAATATCGTCAAAGTTCCTGTCGTTAAATGCAACCTGCTTAGAAGAACGGGAGTACTTCATGGCCGGACAGATTTTCGCCATGGCACTTGTACATGGTGGTCCAGGTGTCAATTGTCTCTCAAGTTCATGTTACGATGCGATTGTTAATGAATCGGGAACGCAGAACCTCAGTGCAACACTTGATGATATTCCTGATTTTGAGATGAGAGAATCGCTTGGCAAGTTATTACAAACTCCTTGTGTGGATGCTGCTCGGAAAATCATTAGCGACGAAAAATTGGATACCATATTTGACATGGCAGGCACGTTGCAGATTATTAGAATTAAGGCCGATGTTGACAAGATAGTCCAGCGCACCATCAACTGGTATGTGTTGGGGAGAAGTCAACCAGCATACTACAGCTTCAAGGAAGGCTTGCGAGCCTTAGGTGTGCTCGAAGCCATGTTGAAATACTCAAATTTGTTCAGAGAAACATTTTGTTACAATTCAGAACCGTTAACCGTTGGCATGATAATGTCTGTTTTCAAAGTGAAGCGTGCAGAAGAAGGTTCAAATAGAAGAAATGTCGAATTTCTAGTCCTGTCGCACTGGAACGACTTCCTGCAAGACGCCGAAGAAGACCCCACACAAATCAACCTCTCGGAAATTTTGTTCTTTGCATCCGGTTGCAAAATCTTTCCTCCCCAAGGCTTACATTGTGAATTACAATTTCTGCACGAAACTGAAACAGATGGAAAGTTATCCAAGTTTCCTAAAGCTAACACGTGCAATCTGCCGGTTGTTCATGGTGATTACGAAAGCTTCAAGAACGCCGTAGTGTTCGGCATTAAAAATGCTCGTGGATTTGGCTGTGCATGAACAATCGTATAATATACATCCAGTACTATACCAGTATTGACTCTATGGATTGAGAAAAAATGTTTGCATTAGTTGAGATTAGCGTAACAGTTGAGTTTTGTTTAGGAGAACAGTGTTTTTATTTGTATCATACTGATGCAACAACGTGTTTTATATTATTTGTACGTGGCTATATTGTGTCGAAGTAATCATATTATCCCTATATGGGACGTAGCTATAGCAGGGAAAGTAGACATAAACCGAATTCATCATGAAAGCAGAAACAACCCCAAGAGTAACAGGTTTGCAGAAAATCCACGTTAGTAAACAAATAGGATGAACCAGTAAAGAATGTTAGTATTCCATCTACAAGATACAGAGTTGCGTTGGTAAAAATATTTTTAGATCGTTGTTGAAAGTGTGATTAAGCAGCCAGAAATGTTTATATGACATGAATGTTTTTATTTTCTTAAATGAAAGAAATCTTTAAGCTGTAGTGTAACTTATTTTTCAGTTTCATTTTTTTATGGTTTGTTCCCGAGATATTTAAATTTGTTTGGCATGTAAATGGTGTGAATATGTCCGCTAATTTATGACGTCACGTTGGTTTGAAAGCTCTTCAAAATGGTTGAATATCGCGGCTATCATCCAAGATAATAATTTCTAACTTCACTCACTGGTAAATGTGATAAAATACTGGAGAAAACGTGAAATGGTATCTACAGTTTTTAGAGTTAACAAGACGCTCCATTGAGCGTTAAGTCGCTGGGGCGGCTGGGGTTTTAGCATGCGCTAAACAACACGTTGGCGGTTATTAAAGTGCACTATAAGCACGAAGACACACTATGTTTTAATAAATGGCAAAGCTTATGATTCAACGATAACAAACTCACACATCGCGATGGCTAACGTCCTTTAGGCACCGTGGAATATATGCTCAGTCTCATGGTATTGTATTATGTAGCCTGCTCGCCAGGGCAGTAGCGACTGGGGGGTGCAACCCCCCCCCCCTAATAATTGCTCACGAGCAATTTCCAGTAGATTTTCAGCGGGTAAATTCTGGTAGATTTTCAGTAGAGTTTTAGGTAAATTCAGGTAATTCTCAGGGCATAAGAAAGTGAATTGGGAAAAAAATAACTATATCTGTGGAAAAATTTTTTTGTATTTCGTAAAAATACACGATCGTAAAAATAAAGATATGTCCAGAAAAACTTTTGTATTTTGGGAAAAATTATGATATGTCCGGAAAATATTTTGTATATTCGTGAAGATTACGATATGTTCGGAAAATTTTTGGTATGTCCGGAAAATTTTGTGCGACTCCCCCCCCCCCCAATTAATAAGTGATTGAAATGTTCTCGCCATGCATGCGTCGCAAAATCAGGTAAAAATGTTAAGTTGGATAAATTCAGGTAAATCCAACCTCACACCCCCCAAAGGCAATGTTCTCACAACGCCGCTGCAGTGCTCTCAGCCCGAAATTTCATTCTAAGGTAAACTGGAAATTTTTTCCGTTTCCAAATTTTTGGGTGGGTGCAAGCAGGCTAACGATTATATAGATCTTATGCGAAATATTCATATTTGGGCATAGTATCCTGGGTAACAAGGGTCAAAGTACGAGAAAACTTAGGTGTCGCAGACCTATAGTCTCGCTAAACTAGGTCAGATGTTGTTACCTAGGATACTACTAGGTTCGATTGTAAATTATGCATCAGTTTTATTATTATTATTAAATTCTTCACAAATGGTTACACACTGACACTAATATACAGTAAATAACATGTTACAAGACAAAGTACGTATTACTGTAATACCCCACCCCAGAACTGAAATCAAGCGAGGCTCTCTACTTCTGCTTCCCACCCAACTAGAGCGTGTTTGGAAGGGAATGGAAGTGGAGAGCCTGGATTGAAGGGACTTGAACTGGGATCTATGTCATGGCATGCTTTCAAGTGCAGGAATGTGAAGTAGCTAGCCCCTAAATCGCAGATTTCATATGGAGCACGGTTTTATGCTTTGGACAGTTTATGACTGCATATAATTATCTAAGTGGTAACCTGTAGCCTAAGAACAGGTTCTATGGTTGATTGATTGAATAGCTTTAACAAGCAGTTTGTCAAATGAATGTGTAGCCTGCGTTTAATTAAGAAGATTGTGATAAGAGGATTGTAAAACTATCAGGAATGACATCACAATCTATGGCCTGTATCGACAAAGTTGTCACCAAACTGAGGAAACCCTACAGTTATGGAATTAACATCAACACGAAAATCCAACCTCATTAGACAATTATTATTAAAACCTAGTTCTACGTATTTCAATAGTCATGATATTCAACATACTTGTGTCACTAATATCTGCAGAACACGTTACGCGTGCGTACCTATTTATAACTATAATTAATACTATAGGAAATAAGCTGGCATACAAGCAAGTTCTTAGACATTCCAACTACTCGAAGTAAAATTTAGGGAGACTGTTCAATGAATTGAAATTTAGTTCTTCTGGGAAAAAATAATACAAATTAAGTCTTCTGAAATGGCGTTTCCTGCATTTTGGGAGTATGTTGTTATTAGTGATCCTATAAATTGCCATAAAGTAACTTCATAAAAAGGTCAACACAAACTATTATCATGCTAAAAACAGTATATTTATGATTTTTTAAGATATTTCCTGAATATTCTGAAAAATCGGGAGAATTTCATAAAAATCGGGAGACCAGGAGATTGCATGAATTTTCGGGAGACTCCCGGTAAAATCGGGAGAGTTGGAATGTCCGAGTTCTCCAGAAATTAAAAAAATTCTAAAGTCCAGAGTCCAGTTTATAGTCCAGTCAGTGTTTATAATAAGTCTATCGAGAATGCTGTTTAGGTGTTAATTATATAGAAATTTCTTTACTATTTCTGTCAAAAGTAAATATTTCTGTCATATATTAAGTTTCCTTTCTGACCCTTCCAAATTGGATTTCCTTTGCCAGCGGACAATTTTCTTTTAGAAAATTTCCTTGATTTTGCTAGCTCCCAAACCCCAATTACAGTAATAGTGATTTACAGTAATATAGTGTTGATACGTCAGTGGTTGACATGCAATGACGTCATAATATAGAGTGTCGCCTGTGGTGTCGCCTTGCAAAGTGTTATGGGCGGTTGATGAGTCATTGTCTAAATTGTAGTTTGCATGTGGTTACGAATCTATTAGCAAGGGACGTGATGGAGGGCGAAAAAGATTCAAACAAAAACAAAAAAGGGAAAAAAAGTGTAGAGAAAGGGAAAGACCTTTCTAAAAAAAGGGACATGAAAAATAGTCCAACCACACCAACAAAATTAGTGCAAAGAGAAAGCGAGAACACCCCAACGGCGAAAAATTTAAACATGGCAAAAGAAGGCGAAGCAAGCAACGCTCCAAGCTCCCCGACAACATATCCGAGCTCTCCAGCAACATCAATGCCCTCAGAAGTTATCGGCTACGTCCACATTCTCTCTTCGCCGATTCCTAACAAACGGAAAACTATGAAATACTCCACATGCGTGCTGCAAACCCAAGACAAAGAAATCGACACACTTCTTTACTCACCACGAAAGCGTGCAATAATTTCGGAGAGCGAAAAGACTCGTACACCCATTAAGATCAGAAAGTTCACTTTTACTCCAGATTGTGAAAAGCTCATCATCAATGATATGACGAACATTTCTAAACCAACCCCAACTGAGTACTGTTTTCAGTACAACAAATTATCCTCGAGGAAGTGCATATCCCTTAAGGAAGTTCTAGAGTCCTCCGAAGAGGGCGATCTAGTATCAGTAATCGGAAAATTCGGCACCATCGGCGAAATATCCAATGTTGGTCGGGGCCTCAAATTGGCGGAAGCTACACTTGCGGATACGACAGCGCAGATAGACGTAAGTTTGTTTGAAGAGAACATCGCTTCTGTAAAATCTGGGAGTGTCTACATGATGCGTAATTTACGAGTACGCGTCTGGAAAAATGTTAAAAAATTAACAACAACTCCAAGTTCCATTATCGTAGAAACGGAAAACACAGAGATAGCAGAGATCGACGTCGACGTTACATCTGAACACGACGAAACCGAATTAACAGTGGTTGTCCCGTTTATTACATCTGTCGAGCAAATCGAATTGTATCGCATTTGTGTCCAGTGTTCAAAGAAATTGTTGCAAGCTACAGCCAGCCTGATTGTGAAGTGTGACAGGTGCACTCATTCCATGGTTCTTTCAAACTGTGAGAAGAAAATGTCCGCACATATTACCGTCGCAAATAATAATCCCGTCACCTTGATGGTATTGGACCACAACTTGCGATCACTTATTTCAAATATGGACGAAATGTCAGAAGAACAAATAATCGAAACATTATTGCTGTTGAACAATGTTAGTATCAAGTATGATCCCGTCACACTTATTGTGTCTGAGATTAAACTTCATTAGTTGAGTGACACCAGCGAGTTAGTATAGAAACTGACTGAAGTATTTTGTTATATTTTGAGTTTATATTTTGCTTGACATTAACACTTCTCATGGGATTTTGTTGACTTTAAAACACTGATTACTGATAAACGTTCACTCGAACAAGTTGTTAGCTGTAGTATGTTTATATTTTCCATCGATAATATGCAACTATTAAAAATGCATTAATAAATTTTCATATTCAACATACATTTCGTTGAGATGTTTGTTTATATATATAGTTAATTTCTAAGCCAGGACCATGCATGTCCATGCATATTGAACGCGTTAAAAGTGCCAACTGACTGTCCTTGTTTTCTCGTTTCACACGTACTTTACTCCAGTTACACGATACAAAATTTGACATTTGTGGATGGACTATTATTAATAACTCCAGCGTTTATCGGAAAAGTATGCCGAATATATACGAGGTGTTTTGAGCTTGTAAAATTTTTACTTCTCGTATTAGAACGTATGCTTGTGCCTGGGAACGTTTTCACAGAACGTCTTATAATTTACAACGGCTTTTTAAATATATTTAATTAAATTAATGAACTTGGCATTTGAAGTAAAGTATTTACGTATATGATGCACGAGTAATTTGTTTACGTCGACAATTGTCACTTCCAAAAATAACTCTACTTCCCCTAGAAGAATTGACATTCCCAGTATTCCCCATGAAGAATTGACATTCCCCATGAAGAATTGACATTCCCCATGAAGAATTGACATTCCCCCACGAAGAAACGACCCCTGGGTCGAATGTAAAAAATAATACCCTTATTAATGTATTCATTTCTAGAATACTACATTTTCGCAAAACTTTTAAAAAGTTTTTCTTATAATAACTTATTGCTCGTGAAATCGAAGTTATAAAAATTTCACCGCCAAGGCCATGCAACGCCCCAACTTGAGCAGTATTGCACCGATTTGTTGGAGAGAAATCTTTTCGAGTGTCTCTATACGAGTTCGAGATAGTTGTCAGTCAAACCACATGCACGCTTCAAATTTGGACACCAAAATTTTCCCGGAGAACCACCTCTTAAAATAGGGTTGAAAATTTTTTTTCCGTACAAATAACAAGTAAAACATGGGCAAAACCAGTTTTTTTCACCAAAATCTGTAAAATTTAGGGGGTTTTCACCAAAATCTGGACTATTAAGGTCTTGAAATTTCAAATTATCACAATCGGCCAAAATTGACGAAAAATTACCACGGTAGTTCTGAAATTACCGTAGTAATTGTCACAAATTTCCAAGTACCACATCGTCCAAAAATGACGAAAAATTACCTTGTATTTTTAGAATGCTGCTAAATTTAGAGAACCAATCGCATGCAGTTATCGCTACATGCTGGGCGCCTGCAACTGCACGTGCTGTACAATTACGACAATATAAATAATACAAAATCATTTTGAAATCGATGATAGCTTTGTCAGTTGTGAAATCAAACTCGTCTATTACTATATTTTTACAATTGCTAACTTGGATATGAATATATTGAGGTGTATTAATTTTTAATTGCCCTGCGAGAACAAAGGGAATACCCGCAATCATGATATTATAACTTTATAATTTCTCGTAGGTTTGGAGAGCGAAAGGCACGGCTTTGTATCTGAGTAGTAGGCGCGAGCAGTCCGACTGAACACACCAAGAAACGAAATACGCCCATACACTTTTAATGCACTTTCAATCTCGTACCAGAGTATGCCCGTTCGCAGGTTAGGGACCGTTCATTATTTATACCAGGGGTTGGTACCGAAGAGATATGGGTTGGGTAATCAAGTTTTTGACTAGCTCATGGGTTGGGTAAAAAATTATCATGCATTGGAAAATATAAAGAAAAATGTGTACAATACATTCTGTACGAAAATAGACCATCAGTGATTGAGGAAGGACTCCATCATTGATCAGCAGAAACGAGATTGCTTTTTCACACTCAGTGAGTTTACGAGCTTTTAGAATTTAAGCAACTTTATTTCTGTATTCTGTAACCATAATCTTGTGTGTTTAATTATTATGAAGTACAGTAACACATGGGTTGGGTAAACATTATTTTGACCATTGTTGAGGTTGGGTAAATGAAAAATTTACACTGTTTTCTCGCTTCTCTTCGGTACCAACCCCAAGTCGGGGTTGATCAACGATTTTCTTAATTTGTGATGATATGTCGTCAAAAAATTTTCCGTGCACGTGAAAGAAAACTTCGATTTAACTGTGACCCGTGGTCGGCAAATAGAAATATACTTGATTTGTCTGTTTTGTGTAGGCAGCTTTAGCAGCTTTCCAAGTCTTCCAAGGAATAAATACGGAATTTCTGGTTGTTTTGGAAATATTTTATATAAAATTGCAACACATCCTCGGTCTGGGATTACCAATCATCGGAACATGTCAAACTGTCTGGCATTAACAATAATTGGTATTCCAAAGCAGAAACTAATGCAACCTCGTACCCAGGGTTCTCTTTAATGAATGCCTAACCCCCACCCTGTCCCTAACGCCAGCACAATTGAGGAAGACGTCTTATCATAATCCGTGAGTTTTGTTTGTATTTTCATGTGATTCATGATCGCTTCGATTTTTTCATGAACGTGAAAGAATTTTTGCAATTTTGCGTGACCCGTGAAAAGACTAAATCTTTATATGTGAAAGCACATTCTAATTTATTTGTTTCATTTACCCAAAAACAGGAAGGGCGCACCCACAGAGCCGAAGCTCTAATAACGGGATCTCCGATATTCTGACGGGCAAAGTAGACTGCTTATTCTGTGAATTACATCATGTCATTGACTATACTTGTCGCAAAGGGGCAATTGCCCTTCATCATCATGCCGAGTAATTTCCGTTGGCACTTTTTTCAGGCTCCACGACCACGTAATATTTCCGCGATGAATGTCTGCATTTTGCTATACATTTCCAAACTCGCGTTGTTTTGCATGACCACTAAGGAAGTGGGAATCTCCAAGTCTCTTTGTGGTAACGGAGATCGTCTAAATTTAATATCACGCACAGTTGCTTTCTTATTGTCACAGTTGCTTTATCAAATTTTGACAAGTTTATTCGTTGATAGAAAGTAATGATGGTAACTGCGTTAATTGCTTCGATCAACTTGACCAAAGAATGCGAACAAGAAAATTTATTGCGCAGATTTAAAGCTGCACGAATAAGTCCTGAACAAAACCGAAATAAAAGCTGAGCGAAAGTGAGTACCACGTGAATTTTAATACAAGTAAGGTATTATTCAATTACTTTATGGTTTCCGTGTTTGGATGGCCTGATCCCAACACGCGGGAATGTTGCGAGAGTTAAGAAAAGCGCGCGAAATCACGAGTCGAAAATAACAACTTTCCGTGTTAAAATTTCACTTTAAAACTTTCACTTTAAATTTCCGTGTTTGAATGGCCTGATCCAAACATGGGTTTCGATCAATCAGAGCACGCTTTATATACATGTTATTTTATAATATTATTTTCTTAAAACTTTATTTGGATACAGGACTATTTCACTATGTATCAAACTAACTATTTACAGGGCTGGCAAACAAAATATTAAGTGATAAATTATGGTACCATGCAGTAATGAAGTATATATTCTATGTTACTTATGTCATTAAAGACATCAACAACCGTATTTCAACTACGTTGTACGATATTAATTCAGAGATCCAATAGCAAACTTAGTGAATAGCATATACAAATTCACGAACGGTTTAGCAGTTTACAACACCATATAAGTCCGTGATTAGAACAGTGAAGATAACAACGTTCGTAGTCGAATAAGTTTGAAACATACAGTAGCCCAACCACGTTCCATTGGCATTTCATTATTGAAAGGAATCACCTCCGAGAAATTATTTCCTTGTAGTGATATATTAAACGTTTTTCTACAAAATACAGAAGTTGGAGCGGTTGTATTATTGTAGGCCTATACAGTTAATTTCAGACCGTTTTACAGTTTACAACACCATATAAGTCCGTGATTAGAACAGTGAAGATAACACTATGACGTTCGTAGTCAAACAACTTTGAAACATAGCCCAACCACGTTTCAGTGCTGTATGTGTAGTTTCATTAAACGTGTGAGTGAACGTACCTTGTTTTATGGAATGGTATTCATGTCACTCTCTTTCAAGGGATCTAGCAGAACCTCTCTGTGCGTTGACTGGCTTCCCATTCGAGCGATGTCTTAACATTCAATTCATTTTCTGAAAATTTGGCAAATTTATTAGCAATTGTTTATACCTATACTAGTTCACATGTGATGAGTACAGTGGGGTTGGGTGTTTTGTGAGCGAAACATATTTAATTGCATTTCCCCCAAGAGCTACAGTATAATAAGCTCATCAATATAGACAGTGTATAGATAAGACCGTCTGTTCACGCCTTGCATGCATGTGCCTTACTATGTGAACTACACGCGTAAAAATCTCACATCTTGTAGCAAGTCTGCCAATAAGTTATGTTCGCAATGCTTGTCCCAAGTTTTCAACATAGGTTTGCAACACGCTGTTAACAACTTGTAACAACTTTGTTGATATTATCAGACTTGTTGCAAGGTTGTTTCAACAAGTCCGATACAGTCATGACATAGCAATATTGTTACAAACTTGTGTCATCAATCTTGTAACATTTCTTGTTATATCATCAATGTATCTGACTTGTTAGAACAACCTTGTAACAAGTTTGATAATGCCATCAAGCTTGTTAGAAGTTGCTAACAGCTTGTTCCAAACTCGTTACAACAACTGGGCACAGGCAGTGCGAAAACAACTTGTGGACAGCTTGAGAACAGATTTGTAGAACTTCTTTGCAGACCTGTAACAACTTGTGCATTTTTACGTGTGTAGATGACAATTTATTAATGTTAACCCATCAAGCGGTAGCGCTCTCCCCTTGACGAGTAAAATCATCTGTCGTAAGACAGAGTAAACTAATATAGTACGACCGCATTAATTCTTTTACACATTATACAACAATCATATACTGTACGAAGACCAAGTATAAGTCATAACTATTTTGGGACATACCTTAACATAATTGGTGATAGTTTACCGAACTGCATGTCTCATTTCAAACTTTGCATCCCAAAATAAGACATTTTGAGTTATGTATTTGACCTTACATCACATCTGAGCTGTAGTGTACTAAGTATAGTGAATGTAAATGTTGCATTTAGCTACAAATTTTAAAATGATTGAACATACCTCGTTTGCATGTAACTGCAGGAGAGTCCTCACGTCAGTCTCTTTGGGGATCTACCAGAATCCCCCATCCCAGTTTCCATGTAGACTGGCTTTTCATTTCAGCGATTTTTTAACATTTGATTATTTTTTCTGAAATTTAATATAGTACTATATAATAATTATATATATAGTTGGTTTGGGTATATACTGAAACTTTTTTGAAACTATACTGGCGCAATACAACATACCAAAATGTTTAATAAAAATACTTGTCAAAATCTTACAGTTACCTTAACAGCCTCGTGATCTGAATAATACACACTTACAACGTTTGTGTCCAGTTTATTGCTTATTGACTGTTTTACGTAAACATGATCGAGAAGACTTCCGGAAGAAACAAATGTTGGTTTACTTACAAGTTGCACATAATTTAAAGACTCGGCGAGTACTTTCAATGAAGAAATATTCTTTTCATTAAAGTAATCAATATTAAAATCTCCAAATATAACGTCAATATCCAAGCTAGTTATTATGTAATCTAGGCAAGCTATGAACTGCTGAATATTACCTCCGTGCTTACGATAAAGCAGTAGACAGGATAAAGTATTCCCAGCGGAGTTATTAAGCAAAAATCTTAAACCATTTATTGAAGTGAAATATTCTATATCACTTAGCGTAATAGCGTCTTTGTAGCAAAAGCTAGACTTAAGAACTTGTCAGAATCATGATCTTGTCTATGTATAGAAAAATCGTTAAGGATTGAGTTAATATCACCATTTGGTACACTGGTTAAAAGTTGAGTTTCCGTTAGAGCCAGGACATCACATTTGGACAAAACAGAGTCATTACTTAAGTCAAGACAGTGTTTCTTAAATGATCTAATATTTAAAAGACAAATTGAGACAGTTTCTTCGTCGCACAAATCTGTTGTAATATGCGGGTCGACACTCGAAGTTTCACACAATCTCTCGTATTCTTCCTGGACTTTAGGATTTGCTCGAATATGTTCACTTTCAAGCGTTCCTAAAATATGCAGGCCATTTAAAGACGTTGCTCGACTAAGTGCTACATATACCTGACCATAGTTAAAATATCTTTGCTTTTTTAAATCAAAACTGACGACAATGTTATCTAGAGTTAATCCTTGTACTTTATGTATAGTGCATGCCCATGCGAGAGTTAAAGGAAATTGTAATCTTTGCATTTCAGGAGATGATGGTTTTCCTGGTCTGACTTTAATTCTCGCCAATACAGGTTTGATAGGAACAAGATTGTTTTCTCTCGCAAAACTACTGGACGAATTTCGTATAGCAGATAATCCAGCATTACTGTCATCAAATTTAACAAAAACTCTAGAGGGTTTATTACTAACATTGTCAACAGAAACTTTTATTACTGTACCTAACTGCCCATTAATTAGTCGATCACTAATATCCACATTGGTTGTTAGCATAACTCTTGCATTTTCTTTGATCACGATTTTAGTGTCAAGTCCTCCAGTTTCGGATCTTCCTTTAGACAGCACTCTTTCGATATCATGTTTCCTAACATGGGGTGGAAATTGATCCGAAGCTTCTAAAACATATTGTGGTGATTGAATTTGTGCTAGACGATCAATATTGTACTCATCAAATGCTGCATTTTCTGCAAATATGTGTAATGCATCCGATGGATAATTTTTATCGCCTGGAGTTATTTTTCTGGATTGAATACACCTGATATCATCATCTGTATGTGAACCAGTGCGCACTCTATTTAATAGTTGAGTGAAGGCGATGTCATCTTTTTGTCTCATGATCTGTGTTAGTTCTGTCATTCTGAAGACATGCCATGGATGGTACAGATTTAATGCATCATTCTTATAATTCGAAAATGCAATTGCGCTTCGAATTGGCGGTAGCTGAAAGAAGTCACCGACAGCAAGTACACTGATTCCTGCAAAAAGTTCGCTATTAGGTGTAACAAATATCTCTTTCAGTCTCTGGTGAATATGCAGCAGGCCCATGTTTGAGACCATTGATATTTCATCAATTATGATTAGTCTCAATTCAGCCAAGGACAGTCTCATTTGCGTTCTTTTCTGATCAGACATTGCAGGTACATTATTGCCACATTCCCTTGGAATTGCTAGGGCAGTATGTATGGTTGTTCCACTAATATTTATGGCAGCTACGCCAGTTGGAGCCGTTAACAACACAGAAGGTAATTCAGGATTCATAGGAGCATGTCTAAATGTTTTTGTAACTGTATGATATATAGCTCTAATTAAGTGTGATTTACCTGCACCACCACCTCCAGTGACAAAAACATGTATCGGATCTACCCGAGAAGGTTTAGGAGTGTTTAGGTTTGCCATTTTATTTCTACACCAGGAAAGAACCAAGTCGTATGCATATCGTTGTTCGTTGTTCAATGATCGTACAGTTTTTCGTAAATCATCATCACTTATGTCTGAAGGTTGATTGTAAGAACATATTCCTGAGGATGGTGGAACTGATTCGGGATTTGGTGCAAAATGTTGTGGCAACGATTCATTAAAAGACTCTGTTTCATCAGACTCGTCAGGTAATCTTTGTCGCAAATCTTCATTTTCCTGGTCATTCATTGTATCGTAGGAGTGAGTTGGTACGCCATCAAAGTTTCGTAAATTTTCTAGTGCTTCATTAATAGCATCACCATCTGGCTCAAATATTTCTTTGTTGCGTTGTACTATTGTTTGAACACTTGGTTCGTAAAACTTAGAAAGATATGTCTGGTCTTGACCCAGGAGTTCCTCTTCATTACGCCATGAAAAATACAACATAAGAAGGTGGTGAAAATATTTTTCAGGCTCTTTTCTTTTGTTTGGAGTGTGATACCGAATAACAGCTTTAACTTTCCTGCACTTCATAACTTCTTTGCTGTTCATAAGTTTTATTCTATCAGGAAGTCCTATGGTGTGATTATCGATATTTTGGGATTCAATCAAATCGTCGCTAAGCACTTCAGGTTGAGCATCAGATAATTCATTAAAATCTCTTTTGTAATCTTTGAAATAGTGAGCAGCAAATAAGGCCAAACACATATTATTAATGACAGGAATGTTTTTCGGTCTGTCACTGTAACGAACAATAATATTAGACTTAAAAATGTCAGTACTGTCATCATCTAACTCATCAAGTTCTTGTGGGGTCTTTGCAACTCTAACACGATCATTAGCAAAATCTGTGCTAACAAAGACAGTTTTGGGAAATATTTTTCTTAACCAGAGTTCAGGCATGCATCTGTAAACGCATTCTTGAGCACTGACTTCACGAGTTGAAAGAAAAGCTGCACCTATTTTTCTTAGGCCATCTCTTATACTTAAGTTGGCTTCTTTAGCCTCTTTTGCTGCATTTATGATGGCTTGAGAACATTCAGTTTCATCCTTTGTAAAGTAAGAACAAACATATGTGATACACTTGTAATGATTAAACACTGGCTGCAAGTCAACATTTGCGGCAAATCCTTTTAACCCAGCAATAAAGTAATTGTTGATAAAACAACTGTTTAATGGTCTTTTGAGGTGCATTTCGTAGTCAGAATCTGGAGATATTGATATAGCCCATTTATAGTCTTGTTCTGTAATACCTATATCATTTAAAATGTCATTTGGAGTAGCATCTGCTTCATAAGTAGACTTGCTTGGGTTTAACACATCATCAATTCTTTGCTTAACTTTAGACAAAATTTCCTTTCGTCTGGTTAGAATATTGGATTTAATCTCATCATCCATATCTTCAGCTAAAGGTTCAGCAACAATTGTTCTGTCAGTAAAAAACTGTCCAAAGTTAAATCTACATGCAATGTTCTTATACTTTCTACAGGTTTTACTGTGGTTATGTGTCTGGTACGTTTTTACCAAGTCATAAAGTTGAGGATCTGTTTCTCTGTCTGGGAGGTGTGCTTGAACGTGTTGGTCAATGTAATCTATGTATGCATCTTTTGTATCGTTTGTTAATTTTGGGCAATCAGATGTCCATATTAAGGCATGTAAATGTGGTGAACCTCTCATTTGAAATTCAATACGGAGTGCATAATATACTATCTTACCAATTGGGTTTGCATTTGTGAGCAAAACCTGGCTGAAAAATGTTTCAACTCGGTATTGAAAATGTTTAGCTACAATAACAGGATTTAAATTTAACATTGAGCATCGCTCATGATAGGACAGAGCGTCCACTTCTTCATCTGTCATGTTGTTGCCTTTTGTCCTTGCAATAATCTGAAATAGCTCAGGCCATCTTAAATCTGCACATGAAAGCGTCATAAACCATGTTGGTATTCCCAGCTGTTTAACCATTGCTACCACCTCATACATAAATTTTTGCCAGTAAGGAGGTGAGCCAGGAATTTGTCGTAAAAACAAATATGCTTGATCTTGCAAAAGAAGATTTTGAAAAGCTTGACTGTTTGATTTTACTTGTGATGCTGTGACTGATTGGCCATGTACTTTTTTAAGAGCAATATTTATACTATCAGAGATCTTTTTCTGCTCCATGATAAATTGTGCAAAAAAAAGATACTCTGGATTGGTTGCAAATTTTCCACTATGATGCAATAGCCTAGCATTGAAATATTTTATTGGAGATAATTTTATACCTCGTTCAGCAGTGTATCCAAATCTCCCCTTCGGAAAGAGAACTGGAAATGAAAGTTCCTCACAAAGTTTATCAGTCATTATTGATACAGGGTGTTTACCTTCACCAGGTGCAATGTTGAAAACTTCTCTTCCAGTTGAATTATTACAGTCAGTATTCTCCAGATTAACAGGATAATTTGGCAAAATCGACTGAAGACAAGTTTCACTTGCAGCTGAACGGTATTCATTTAATGGATCATCTTGTTCTTCAGCATCTTGATCAAGCTGCTCTCTATTTACATTAGTTTGCAAATGCTCGTCTACATTTTCTTGATCTGTAACAAAACAGTTCAAATTAGTCAACTGTGGGCTAATGTTGCCACATTGAATTTCGATGTTTCTATATAATGGATTGTTTGCTATAAGCCAGTTCAATGCACTAATTACAAACTGAGGGCGAACTGCTTGAAAGTAAACATGACCTCTAAACTGAAGTTTCCTTTTTAATTTAAGTAAAATTATGCCAGATCTGTCAGGTGGTCTGGGAAGAACATTACATGTTTGACTACATTCAACTGGTACATTACATATTGCACCTTTAATTTTTCGTTGCTGTCCTTTCGGCATTATCACAATTTTTTCAAAGACTATTCTCTGGGCAACAAGAATTTGTTCAAGTTTCTCTAATGCAGCAAGTTCAGCAGGGGTTTCATCAACAAATAAATTGTTTACCACAGCTTGACAAGGCTGTTGACCTTTAAGTAATTTAGCATGGCAAGTTTTGCAGATATAATGATTGCCATCGAAAGAGCATTGAAACACAAAGTAATCCTGACAAGGATATTTATGTTTTTCTAGGGTAATTACAGACTTTTTATATAATGTTCGGTTACACACACAGCAGACATAACATGGGCCAGATTTAATTTGTTTCTTAAATTCTTCAATGCACAATTCAATGTTGTTAAGCTTGGATTTCCTTTCCACTCGTTTTTCCTTTTCTCTATTCAGCAAGTTTTTTTTTTGTTTTGGTTCCAATGAAGTGCGATTTTCCATGATTTTACTAGAACTTGTAGCATTCAAGTCCCTCTTCTTTGTTATATCCATTGCTTGATATCTCATTCTCTTATTCTCTAACAGTTTCTGTTTTTGATCTTCTCCCATTGTTTTCTTATAACGCAAATTTTTTTTAAGCAATTCCTCTTTCTTTGATTGATCTAAAGCTTTGTATTTTTCTCTCTGATTCTCTAACAGTTTCTGTTTTTGTTCTTCTCCCATTGTCCTTTTATAGTTCAACTTTTTATTAAGCACTTCCTCTTTTTTCGCCGGATCTAAAGCTTTGTACTTCATTTGTCTTTTTTCTAGCTTTTGTTTCTTTAAAGCTGGTTCAATGATCTCATTAAAGACATTAATATAATTTTGTCTGTGTTTTTTCATAATCTTTTTTCTTTCACAGTTACTCAATTTAGAAGAACAAGACAGAAATTGAATTTCATAATTTACAATTTCGTCCTTGACTTTGGTGTTTGCTAAGTTAAAGATAGCCTCAACTAAAGTGTGTTTGTCTTCTATGTTCTTGATATAATGTGTAGTAGGTGGGCTAGGATCTTCATCATATGCTAACATTGAGTATGACTTTCTCTTCAATGTTGCATGGAAGATACAAGAAATACAATAACCCCCAAGCCAAATTAAAAAACCAGTGTTTTCATCACAATGACATATCACACTTGCAATGTTTAATTTGCTTTCTGCAATGTCATTAACTACTCCTTGGTAATTAGCTTGCAATTGTATGTGCACATCAGTTCCACAAATTTTAATTTTTTGAGGTAGATCACTTGAAGACCAAGTATTTATACCAGTATTATTATACAAATTAGTGCCAAAGTAAACAACTGCAGATATTGTATTTGAATCCCAGTAATTACAAGGTTTAATAACAGAATAACAAATTGAATATAATGAAATTGCACAGCATTGTCTACACAAGCAGAAAGCGTCAGTAGTTTTAATTTCTTGTGAGGCATTACCTGATCGGTAAGTATTTCCAATATTGTTGTTTAAGTTTTGGTCAGTAGTGCTTTGTAGTTCTTCAATATTAACAGCTCTCAGCTCAAACTGACTATTTTCACTGTATAGGGACTGGAAATGCAAAATTACATGGTTAATAGTTGCTGCTTCTAACAACACACAAGTGCCTTGTGGATGACTTCGGCCATAGATATCCTTTGAATGTGAGTCAAAAATGTTATATTTGCTATCATTGGTGGAAAATATACAAACAGCATTGCAGTCAATTATTAATATAAATGCAGAATAGTTTTCAACCAGGAGCAGGTCAAATGCTTCATGAAATGGCACACAATACTGAAATCCTTCAATAAAACTATCTCCGATTACCCTTCCACTATAGCTCTCACTGTACTCAAGATGATAATCTGTATCAAATACTGTTAATTGTGAAGGCAGTTCTGTAAATAATAAAATTGATTGTCTTGCCAAACACGACAAATTTGAATACAGTTCATTACCAATATCCATTATTTGAACCAGGTCTTGAGGTGACCCAATGTTGTGTCTCTTGTTGTATATAAGAGCACATAAGCACATTGCTAAACACTGCTGTCCTGCTGTTTCTCCAAATATAATCTGATTCCCTTGACTATATGGTGCACTGATTGTCTTGTTTGGATTGATATAGAACACAGGTCCTGGATTTGTCTCAATATCAGTAGATAATGCTGACTGACAGACATTCTTCATATGGTTGACATTTTTATATACCTGTTGTGTATGTAAATCACTAGTGAAGTCAGATAAATAAAATATATCTGCAAGAATACCTTCAGGAATGTTAAATTTTAAATGTTTTGCTAAACATTTAGTCCTATTTGTTTTCTTAGCCTTTCCGGGGCAGTGAATATCAGGGATGCACTTTATCCAAGAATTTTGACTATGTCTATGAACATTTCTTACTATATAATGAAGTTGCGAAGATCTGGGTACAGACTTTTTGATT